AAACAACGAAGAACGAACACTGCTCAAGGATGTCCACAGATCTTTACACTGTACAATTGTAGAACTAAAGTGCATTACTTTCATGGCCCAAGGAGGTTCTTTCATAGCCTTCTCCTAGGAGCCCAAATGTTACACAACAGGTACAAAGTCCAAGTCCAACCTGCATGTAGCTGAACTGAACTACCTGAGAACCTACTGAAGCAGACATGCCTGGAGTATTTTCAACATAAACCTTAAACCCCGAACCCTAAACCCTACAATCCTAAACCCTAAACCCTACAACCCGGAGGCTTTGAAGTCTGAGGTTTACACTCAACCTGCTAGCCCGGCAAACCCCCGAACTAGAGCCAAACAGCTCTACGTCCATGGGTTCCCCCACCACCTCCCATAAGGACCCCCCCAGACAATTAGGGTACTGTTAGGGGCGTATTAGGGTTTATGGACCCTATTCGACTACTATTAGGAGCTTATTCGTGTTCCTTTTTTGGGGGTCCCCAAAGGGGGATGGTAAAGGAACCCATGATACATCCTCATCCATAACACCATGTCCTGTGTGCTGGGATGCCTATCAAAAAATTAAATTAGAATCAACAGAAAATTAAATCATAATCAAAAAAATGCAGCGACGTTGCAGCATTGATCATGGATGCCAGCAATGAACTGCAGCAGGCCCAACACGCGGGAATTTGGAGCTTTCGATGTCAGTGCTTGCTAGCACTGAAATCCTTGTGGGGCTTTCGCAATTTTTCAATATTTTGTTTTTTTTGATCCTCGGCCTTGAACCGGCGAGCCCCAATCCTTGAAGATTTGACCGTTTTCAAAGATTTTTGTTTGTTGATCATTATTTTGTTTTTTTCTTGATCATTTTTTTTGTTTTGTTTGATCCCTCGCCCCATCAGAGAGGTTGGTGCCTGTGCAGAAATGTCCATGAACACGAGCGATTTTTTGATTTGATAGCAGCCGCATCCCAACTCTACTCGACAACGCGCGCAAGACCTTGTTCCAAAGATGCTGACATGAAGAACTGCGCAGCATCAATCTTTACGAAACTGAGTTCGTAATTCTTTTGCTTCCGGCAAGAACCATGTTTACTGCTCTTCAAGGTACAGCTCTGACCTCTAGCGTTGACGTGAAGTTACTCTGATTCCAAAGCGTCCATGTGTGCTCACAGCTCAAGCGTTTCACATGTCGAACGGCGCGCACAAAGGCTCCCAGATGAGCTTTGCAGGGTGTTTGCACATCACACACAAGACCACCCTGCACACCCATGCACTTGCCCTTGTGAGTGTGATCAGCATATTGGCAGTCGCCGTCATCAAACTTGGCACGTTGCAAAGCAGGCTTCGGATGATGATCAAAAACCAGCTGCCATCTGTAGCTTCCAAGCTCAGAAACAAATACACTAGATCACTTCTCATAGAAGCGCTCATCTTCGACATAGGCTGCGTGCAAGCGGAACAGAAAGGCAGCACGTTCCATGAGCATCCGTCGCTTGGGAACCTTATCAATCGCAACAGCGACTCACAAGATCAGAGAACTGACAGAACTGTCTCTTGCACTTTAGCCTTCGCGGTTTCAAGAGGAACTCCCCAGTATGGATAACTTCTCTACACATCTTCTCTTCTCCTTTAGCGCGCTGCATCGTTCCACGCCACCTGGATGGCAGAAGTGACAGCTTGAGCAAGGTTGTGACTCTTTCTGCGAACGACTTCAATTTTGTGCGCGAGCATAGTCCTGCACCAAAAGGATCTTGCTTTAACACAGTTCACAACATGCGACACCTGATGCTTGACAAGGGCCGCAGACTCTTCGCTCTTCACAGGAACCTTCAGCAGAAATCGCCTGCAACGAGTGAGTGGCGATGCGTTCAAAAAACGTTCCACTGTTGTCTGAACCCGTGCAGCACTGCCTCTGTCCATGTCAAGGGCACAAAATCCAGACGCCAGTAGCAATGGCACGTGCTTTCCCAATTCGCCAAAGTGTCCTAAAGCACAGGCGACTGCGACTCTCGAGAGGGTAGAGAGCGAGCCACCAAACATGAGCGTCATACATCATGTCCACGACATATTCTCTACTATGCCCAAACTTGTCCCTCTGCCAACAGCATACCTCACCAAACGTGGTGACATTGCTATAAGCACGACGTTATGCCGTTATGTTGGGATGGAAGCTGTATCAGACAACACGCATGACACATTCAACTGACACTCACCCTCAACTGTCCAAACCTCTTCGAGAACGCTATGCTGTTTTGGAATCAGAGACATTCATTTAAAAGCGTGGAAATAGACAGTCGAATTGCCGCAGCTGTAGCGTCGCTGCAGCTTCAGGTCTGCTGTGCGTTCCTCCGCCTCCGTGGCCGGTGGGCGTGGAAGTCACATGTGCCTGGGAGAGTTTGAACATGTTTGAACAGATGTCTTTGCTAGAGCAAGTTTGCAAATCAGGTGCCCTGATTCCTCGTGACTGTGAAGGCAACGAAGTTCCAGGCGTGAAAAGATGTGGGAGGAATTGTGCCAATGGCATTTGAGACCCTGAGGCTTGCAGCAGGTGCGACTCTTCGCTCAGCCACCCGCGCCGCTTGCCGAAGAGCTCACCGCTGCATTGCATGTGGCAGATCCGAAGGACCAGCGGCAACCTACGAAACTTGAGTTCTTTCTGCTTGAAAACATACACCTTTTAGGATGTGGCGCGGCAGTTCCGGCTGTACCTTGCCAGCGAGAGAGACGTCTTCGCAAGTGATACTTTGCCAAGTCTTTCGCTTTGGGGATTCTTTGTTTGCTTCACTTCAAGTTTTCAGGTTTCCGACGGTGGCGGGTCTTTGGCACCTCCGAGGCGAGGCCATCCTTCAGGCCAGGCCTCACCGGCCTCACGGGCCTCTCCTCCGAACCATGCCATCGTGTGGCCTCCCGTGCAGAGAGAGAACGGCTTCCTTTGTGAGGAAGATGTGGTCATTCCATTCCGCTCCTGGCCTTTTGAGGCATGGGGCATGCATGCTTTGCATGTGCCCAAGACGAAGAACTGCTTGTTGGAGGTCTTGGGAGGCACGACCTCTGCGCAGCGCAGCTTCTCAGTGCAGCCTTCCCGAGCAGAGACCTCAGAGCATAAAAAGCGCTGTCTAAAAGCTAACTGTCTAACTTAGTCTAACTCTCTCTTCTCCTCTTTCATTTTGTTTTCAACAGAGGTGATCACGGGCATCTCCTTCGATGTGCGACTTGGACGCCAGTCCTAGGCAACTGGCACCTTTTTTGGTCGTCTGTCTGCGCGAAGGCCGATATTTGCTTTCGATTTGTATGAGAACCCCGCAGAGACGGGGATGGACATCTTCCGGCTGCCCCTCGGTCGGAAGGGACGAGTGTGCTGAGTGGGCTCTAAAACGCAATCTTCAACTTGTGGAGTCTCGTGGAGTCACGAGGAAGATGATGGGTGGCTACGAAGAGCGCCTGGCCTTCGAGCCGTCACTCTGGCATATGCGGCACATGGATGTTCATAGAGCTTCGCTCTGCAAGCGCTTCCCGTCCGAATATGGCAGGTTGGTTGCATACCTGGGGAACAACACCTACATGGCATCAAACCTCTATGCGCAGAGACCTTCACCCAGCATCGAGCAAGTGTATTCTATTCCCAGATTTCAGATGAAGTCTGAGTAACTTCAGGCCGTGACCTTTTCGAGATTCACATTGACCATCTGGCTTCCCGTCACAACAACAGCCACTTGACGAAGAAGTCATTCGTATTCGCATTTTGGAAGACACCCTGCCCTGTGAGGCTTGTCCCAGTGTCCAGAGTTGTCGCCAGTTCCAGGCAGCTCAACAAATCTCAAGAACCCTTGTTGAAGGGAGACAGAACGGAGAGCGCGCAGCTTCGCAGCTTCGTCTCAGGCGGCCAGATCGTCCAGCTCACCGCCACGCCCTCTTTTCTGTTTTTGCGCCAGGCCGCTAGGCACCAGATGGTTCTAGCACCCCTGGCACCCCAGGAGCAGCGTGCAATTGGCAGCATCGCACTGCTGCGTTGCCTTTCAGGCACACGTCTGCACTTTTTGAGCTTCAGAAAGAGTAGATGAGATGTTTGCTTGGGGGGGGGGGGGAAGGCAACCCGCAGTCTCCCTTAAATCGTTTGAACGAATCTTGGAGTAGTGACTCCAGACACCCGGCATGGTCACTTTCAAGGCTCTTTCCACCTGAGAATTGCTTCGAGAAAGCCGAGCTTTCCACCTTGCGGAAAGGGAATCTTCAAGCGGACTTATGAGATCAGGCTTTGTGGCCGCCGGTGGCGAGGCAGCGCTGCAATGCCAGTGGCCCAAGGCTTCCGCTTTGCAGCAGGCCCGGCATGCTGATCGTCTTAGAGTCTTGCAACACAGATGGCAGAACATTGGCTACTTGCCCTGTGCCTTGCGAGGCGGTCGGTCATGCTGAATGGTTCAATTTGTCATCCATGCCAGCAAGCGGGTCCTGCGCTAAAGAATGGACGCTGTTTGTCATTCTACCTAGGGGCACTCTGCGTCTCTGAGCTGTTTGAGGCTGATGTGCCGCGAGATGCTGGATGCTGAGGGGCTGAGAGCTTTTTGGGCTCTTCTTTGTTTATGTTCTGCGCTGCTTTCTAGGGCCGCGTGTTTTTTTTTTTTTTTTTT